AAATGATCAAAGCTTCCATAATAGAAAATGTTTTGACTTTAAAAGTAGTTTTTATACTAAGTAGTTCATATTCCGACTTTTGTGTGTAAACTTCGTCCATGCTCCTATAATTAATCTGACTTGTGTGTATTTTTAGATTTTAATGGAAATTTGATCCAACATTTATTAAGACTTTTCTAGTGTAGAACTGAGTTGTTTTTGTATGTTGTGTATTGATAGACTACAAGGTGTTTGATGTCTGCCATCTATTAAGTGTCCATCTTCTAGGATGCCTGTGTTTCCTCTCTTTTCTTTCTGACCCAAAGGTTGTGATAAGTTTGTTGCCGTGGGCGGAAGCTTCAACGTTCCTCTGGGATACACACCGAAATCTACTGACTCTTGGGTGTGGAAGTTTAACACCAAGACAATAATTAACATGAAAGCCGGAAAAGAAGTCATGAAGGATGGGGGTGAAACTCACACAAACGGATCCCTCAAGCTGACAAATCTGAAGAAGGAACAAGAAGGAGTTTACACATCTGAGGTTTTTGATGAAAAAGGAAGAAAACGAGCCACGAAGGAAACAAAATTATGCATAGTAGGTAGGTATAAATGTCTGCAAGTTGCACATTCATCTCTATTTTTGATTCTCTACTTGGTCCTTGGTTTCTTTATTTCCTTATTGAGGAAAGCTGACTGGTTTCTGGATTTTGTCATGATTTTTAATATTCCCCCAACAACGTCTCATCTCTTGGATGTAATCAAACCTCCTCAGATCCTGTGAAGAAGCCTAAACTGAATGAAACATGTCAGGATGAAAAAGTAAAGTTTGAATGCGATCTTAGTCAGGTGAGAACATATTTTTACAACTTTTTAGCTAATAACCACAAGTTGCGGTAACTTTCTTTGAAGCTTTGAATATTTTCTGAAACTCCAAACAAAACCTAAATGCTCATCAAAACTTATGAAGTTTTCTAAAAGGTTTATTCTCTTCAATTCCTCCTGCTGTTCAGATGCAAATTATCTGTACAATTCCTCATGTGAATTTAAAAATTATCATGTCTTCTGGATTTCACAGTTTTTCTTGAGCTTTCCAATCGGTCTTGTTTTCTTATCCTTCTTTAGCAACCTGTTGATATAGTTCTTGAATGGCTTCGGAGCGGTAAAGAGATGGTGGCGAAAACAGAAAGAGTTGTTAAAACTGCCGCGGACACAAAAGGAGACAAATTTGTTTGCAAAGTTTCAAACAAAGTCAGTTCTGAAGAGAGTGACCCTGTTATTCATAGTTGTACAAGTAAGTCCATCCATCCGTCCATCCATCTTCTTTACACCCTTGTCCCTCAGTGGGGTTGGGACACGCAGGATAAACAACCATGCACACACACCCTCACACCTAGGGGCAATTTGGAGAGGCCAATTAACCTGACAGTCATGTTTTTGGACCGTGGGAGGAAACCAGAGTAACCCGAGAAAACCCACGCATCCACAGGGAGAACAAACTCCATGCAGAAATACCGGGGCCGGGAATCGAACCCAGAACCTTCTTGCTGCAAGGCAACAGCTCTGTGCAGCCACTGTGCAAGTAAGTATGCTGGCTAAAAGCTGCTGCTGCTCAATGTGCTCCATAATAACTTTCTACCTAAAACAAGCTTGAAGAAAAATACGTTTTTGCTCAGCAGTAAAAAATGTCTACTTGTGATACATTTTTCTAATTTTTGTTATTTTATTTCTTCCTGCTTTGTTTTTTTTTCAAGGTCTCCTGGATGAACTGCATTTAATCCGTTTCTGGGTTTTTAATGGATTCAGAGTTGGTATGTTTTTAAATTGACATAAATCCATGAAATCCACTAAAATGTCCATAAATCACGAACATTTTTAATAACAGTTGTGCTATAATGTTTCTAGTTCTTGTTCTTCTGCTGACCATCACTGTTACTGTCTGCTGTGTCCGAGTTAAAAGGAAAAGGAAGAAACAACTGAAGAGTCACGTGTCATTTCATTTTATTAATCATTTGTTCAGAATAAGAACTTTGTAGATTAAAGGAGAATTTATTAGAATAATCTGAAATTATCTTAAAGATCTATAAAGAAATAAGTTACAATCATAACTGTGAGAAACGATGGTTGTCCTCTGACTTCCTGTCAGGATTAAAATAATATCCTCACTGAGACTACGTCACAAATAACTGGCTAAATATTTGGCTTTGAGTCCTAATTTCTGCCTCTCTAATCACTGACCAGATGATGAGGAGCTTCCNACATCTTGTGAAGATATGTAAAAGCTGAATTCATATTCATTTAATTATTTATTTAGTTATTTTCATCGAAGCAGGATAATGTTACACTGAGAAATACTAAAAATATAGACTTCAAATGCAAAATCTAATTAATTTGTACAGATTTGTTGAAGCTTAATGTCTCGAGACGATGTTTTTTTTTTTTGCTTTGTTTGTTCGTTGAACCATTTCTGTGTTGATTTGGCCCTAAAAATAACACTTGTGCTATAATGTTTCTAGTTTTTGTTCTTCTGCTGACCGTCACCGTTACTGAGTGCTGTGTCCGAGTTAAAAGGAAAAGGAAGAAACAACTGAAGAGTAACGTGTTATTTCACTTTATTAATCATTTGTTCATAAGAACTTTGTAGATTAAAGGAGAATTTATTAGAATAATCTGAAATTATCTTAATGATCTATAAAGAAATAAGTTACAATCATAACTATAAGAAACGATGGTTGTCCTCTGACTTCCTGTCAGGATTAAAATAATGTCATCACTGAGACTACGTCACAAATAACTGGCTAAATATTTGGCTTTGAGTCCTAATTTCTGCCTCTCTAATCACTGACCAGATGATGTGGAGCTTCCTTTGAAGCGGATCGACACCGAGCAGCCAACATCATCGCCGTCTTCCTCCTCTTCCTAAACATCGTCCTCCTCATCACCACCAGCCATGAGCCAAACGATGTTTCTATACGCTCAGCCGGTGCTGGACAAACATCTGTACAATTGAAACGAGCAATAAAATGTAATGAATGAAATGTTAAAAGTAAATAAAAATACTTGGATGCCATATAAAAGCAGATGTGGGGCCTTTTGGATCACTTCCTTTCAAAACTAACAGAGTCACTGACAGGACATGTGAGGTGTTGTTACAGGAAATGTTACAGGGAAGTTCTTCTTTTCGGCCAAAGACAGCAATGAAGGCATCGGCGTCGCTCTCTGTCGTCTCTGTGTTTTTGCTCTGCAGCTCCACTGTCGCCTCACAAGGTACCAGACTGATAAGAAAATATTTTTTTAACGTTACTACAGGTTGATTTTATGGAGCTTTTCTAGAGTTACAACCGCTGTGTTCTGTATTCCTTATCGCCATCTGCAAATATTTGGTCAAATGTAATATCAGGATTTTCAATTAACTTCCTGGAGGTTTGTGTGAAGTTAAACTCATAGAAAACAGCACCATCAAAAGGACCCTTATGCAAATTTACACGTAATTATTTTCCTTATTCTTATAATTCAGATGGTTTGTGTGTATTTTCATTTGTAGCTGGTCATGACAAAACCAGGAACAAGTCCTGCCAGTGGCTGGTTTGAGTTACTTATAGATTCTGAAATAATGTCAAACACACAGGAGTAAAATAATAATAATATAAATGATATTAGTGAGAAAACAGGCCTCGAAATTAGTCTTTTTACCCAGTGAGCTTTGTCAACCATCCATCTTATTGGCTGAAACCAATAACAAAAGCTTGTGAATAGCCAATGAAGCGCGATATGCTAATCAGCCGTGAGTTTTTCCCACACTCTGAAAGGGATCAAGTGTCCTCTGTAAACAAGCTGAATTCAAATACAAAGCTTACCATTTTAAAATCTCTGAAACTGCTATTTAAAACTATTTCAGTGGTTTGTTAATAACTTCAACTGGTATTCTTTGCAATAAAGGAAAATCCACATTTTCACAGAAATTAGTGGAGGGTTTGTTGGTTTTTTTTTTTTTGACCATTTTCTTTGTTTCTGCCATGGCGACTTGGTCCATTTACTACAACATTGACTTTACTTGTATAGATCACAATCAGTGTTTTCGCATGCTTTATTAAACTACATTGGTAGAGTTAGAGATGATTGTTGTCTGCCATCTAGTGTCCATATTCAAACAATCCTTCTCTTCTTTTGCTTTTTTTTTCTTTCTTTCTTTCTGATCCAAAGCTTGTGACCAATTTGCTGCAGTGGGTGGAAACTTCACTGTTCCTCTGGGACACAGACTAAGACTTCCTGACATTCTTAAGTGGAAGTTAAATGGCAGCGTAATATTTTATAGAAGAACAATGAGGATGGTTGTTGGGAAAAATGATGACATTAATCAAGATGGCTCCCTGAAACTGACAAATCTGCAGAAGGACCAAGCAGGACTTTACACTAGTGAGGTTTTGGATCGAAGTGGAAGACTGCAGACCACGAGGGACACAAATTTATGTGTGCTGGGTAGGTACAAAAATATTTCTGCACAGCTTCCTGAACATCTCTTCACATTTGAAATCTTGCGCTTGATTTTTTTTTTTTTTTTCTTCATTTCCTCACTATTGTCCAAATATTAAGTTCTTGGAAAACTTTAAAACTGTGAGGTCAGGTTGTCGATCCATCAGAAGATCTTAAACATGCAGAATATCAGAATATTTCCATAATATCATCTTGTATTTGATCTAATTGAACCCTCACAGATCCTGTGAAGAAGCCTGAAGTAAAAGCATCATGTCAGGACGGAAACGTGATCTTTCACTGTGTTTCTGGGGCGGTAAGAAGATCTTGTTTTTACGTCTTTTTAACTAACAACCACAAGACTTTCTGTGGAGCTCTGAATGTTTCCTAAAAATCCTCATCCAGTTTCAAGAACGATTAGTCACATTCTTTATTCCTAAACATTTGAAGTACTCTGCTGTTTGGCTGTATTTAAAACACGAAATCAGTATCTCACGTGGCCCTGTCGATGTACAAACCACAGGAAATTATTTCAATACGAGCCAAATATATCGCCTAGTGATTTTCACCCTGGCTTCCGTTTTGAGCTGCGTTTTAATTTCCCCGCAGCAGCCTGCTGATGTTGAGCACGAGTGGCTTCAGAATGGCGCCAAGATGAAGGAAAACAGACGGTGGTTCGAAACGAAAGCAGAGGAAACCAAAGGCGCCGAGTTTGTTTGCAAAGTCTCCAACAAATTCAGTTCTGAAACCAGTGAGCCTGTCATTCATAACTGTGCAGAGACGGGTAAATATGTCGTCTTCACCGTGGCTAATAGCTGCTGTTTGACGATGTGTAGCTCATAACCACGACCTAAAATAAAACAGAATAAGCATAACTGCCCCCCCAAATTGTGTGGCTTTAAGCGAAAATTAAAAAGTTTTCCCCTTGTATTGTTTTTGAAGGATATCCAGATGAACTGGCTGGAATAAATATCTGGGTTTTAACTGGTGCCAGAGTGGGTATGTTTGTAGATTTCTATTAAATTTTAGTTTATTCTGAAACATACTAAAGCTACATACATCATATATATATATTTATAATAGCACAATCTCTGGTGTTTTTTCCTGTCATGTTTCCAGGTTTCATTGTTGTGCTGACCGTCCTTGTCTCTGTTTGTTTTGTCCGAGTTGAAAAGAAGATGACAATGGGACTGAAGGGTGATGTGTTTTTTTTTTCTTCTTCATTTTTTCAAACTGGGTTGTTGAAAGTAAGAACTTCTTGGAAAATATATTAGAGATTTGTTAAATGCCACTATCTACAGTTCTCTGTAAAGGACCAGATCAAAACGTCTGGAGCACTCCAAGGCTCGATGTTAGGCCTACTTCTATTTCTACTTTTATGTTCAAACCTACATTGCAAGGCCTGGTCGTTGCCTTTGTATGCTGTTCCTCTCAAATCAAATCGCACGTCACAGCTCAGGCTCGGCTTTCTCCCATTGACTTGGATTCCCTCCAGCAGAATTTCAACCGAGCCAATCAGCAAACAGAAGAAGTAGTTGACAATGATGTCGATTTTCTGCACTGTTTTAGAATTGAAAAAAGGTCAAATTGTTTAGCCAACATAAATTATGCAGCCAAGAAGCAAACTCAATACTTTTTTATTATTATTATTTAGGATGCGTTGCTGTTTGCTCAATTTATTCCACTTTGCATCCTAATTTATGGCTGATTTTTCATCTCTCAACAGATGAGGAGGAGCTTCCTTTTCAGCGGACCGATACAGAGCATCGCAGTCGTGATCCTCATTTTTTTCCTCTTCAACATCATGACCTCCGGTCATGAGCCAATTTTTTTTTTCTTTTTTTCTTTTTTACATATATTTTTTTTCCAGTCTCTGATTTGACGAATACCTTTTTTTGTGCAAAAATCAAAACAGACTTTGTGCCGTCAGCCATCTTAAGTTTCAGCAACTACAATTTGAACACATTAAAACTCATTAAATCTTGACTAATTTGAAAATATTGTCAAGAGTTTTAACTCAGTAATTTTTTGTTGTTGTTTTGGATGAAGGAAAATAAAATATTTTTCTGCGAATTGCTTATTCTTTAGTGAAGACGTTATCTGTACTGCTGCTATGTGGACACTTTGAAACTGCGCTAAATGTTGTAACAATAAAGTAATATTTCAATTGTTGATTATTTGGGGGGGGGGGAATTTTATGATGTAAAGCACTTTGAACTACATTGTTTCTGAAATCTGCTACACACATAAACTTGATTGATTGATAGATTAAAAACAACAAATACAAAAAAGGTAAAAAATAAATAAAAAGTGCCCCAACCCCCTATACTCTAGTCCTGGTTAATTTTGTACCTGCTGCTTCTTTCCACAACTACAATGTAAAATCTGTTGAGTTTTCACACTCTTGACATGAGGTTAAACCTAGCAGGTTGGTATGCACTGTCAACATGTCGTAACGTGTTTTTCCAAGCCACCTTTGAAGCAACATGAGCGACAAGACACACGCTAGTTTGTTTTAAAACCATGACAGCAAACCAGAAAAAGTCAAATAACTCAGCATAGTTTTCCCCCCCCAAACTAATCGAGTGAGTAGCAGGTAATGTTAGCTAAATGATGACTGGCTAATGCCAATATTATCGTTAAGCTTATTAATAAGAACAGGCTACTAATTTTGTTAACTATGTTCAAAAGTGGGTAGTACTGGTTATATTTACTGGAGTAAGAGTAGTTTTACTGCACTGTATGTTTTTCTTTTACTATAGTAACTATTTCTGCTCTTACTTGATTGATTTTGCCTTTAAAGAAGTTGAGTATAATTACTCAACATTTTATTCATGTCACTGTTTATATCCTTATTGGGTATTTTTGTATCAATAAACATGGCTATTTTCATTTGAGCGGCTACATAAAGGTTTGTTTTATGTGCTTATATTAAAGTAAAAGCTCGTTTACTCGACCCTACCTCCCACGCTCACCGGGAGCGATGGAAGGGTGGTTCGCCCAGGGCGCCAAACGGGCTAGGACCTGCTCTGTGTGTGCAGAAATACTTTATTGTGAGGTTTTGCAAGTATCAACCTGTAAAATAAAGAGAGGGAAAAGAATCTACTGTATCTTAACTGTGTGATCATAAATAAGGAAGTTTTGTAAAAAAAAAAAATCTGATGTTAATCTTAATTCTGAGAGAGCTCAGAACACCAAAGGAGCTTTAATAGCTTTAAATAAGATTTTGAGGTCAACAACACCTGCAGGCCTGTTTCCGAGCATATTTTTTGGTGGTTGCAGGTTAAATGATCTCATTATTAAGTCTGTAGGACAGTAATTATATTTAGTCAACGAGGAAAGAGAAGTAAATAAAGGCACACGCCTCTCCGCTGTTCTAAAAATGACATTTTCTGCTCGCTGTCTTTGTTCTCGCTGCTTTGAAAGTAGACCGGTGGGGGCCTCTTGGATCACTTCCTTTCAAAACCAAGAGCTCGCGCACACAACGTGAGCGATACGAGCCGCTGTGACAGGAAATCACCTCGATGATGGAAAGTTCTTCTTTTCAGCCAAGTGTGAGGAGGACGACGATGAAGATGGCATCGTTTTCTGTCGTCTCGGTGTTTCTGCTCCTCTGCTCCGCCGTCGCCTCCCAAGGTACTGAACGAATAAAGAAATCACTTTTTTACTGTTGGGATTGGAAGATTTAATGGTTGTTTTAAGGATAATGTTTAACTTTAGGAGTTTGTTCTCAGTTAGAAGAATTCTAGATCTTTAACCTCTTTCGTTTTCATGTTTTCTGAAGCAGATATTTGCTCTTTTACGTGTCTGAAAGTACAGATTAATCTACTTGTCATGTTTTCATCTGTTTCTGTTTAGGTTTTCAAGTAAAAAGATGAATTTTTTTATACAAAATGTGCTGCCTTGAAACGAAGGGAAACTAGTTAAGTTCTCAAGGAAAAAGTTTTACCCCTCAACTGAGGCAAGACAATTAAGTGATTTTTATTCAGATTTTTCACAATTGAGTTATTATTGCATAATGTTGTATCTTTAGAGGCTGGAAAAGAAAACATAAAAGCTTTATGAAAGCTTTTATCCAAATTTGTTTAAGTTTTCCAATTTCCCTCTGATTTATTTTATACTTTTTTTATTTCTTTTTTTAAAAAAAAATAAAAATCGGTCGGTTTGGAGTTAAACGTGAAAACAATGAGAGAATCAGGGTTAGGGGAAGAGAGCGCAAGGCGACAGAAAAAGGTCCCGCTGGTGGTGGCGTCGGTCTGAAACGAGGTTACAGCGGACAAACAGGAAGACGTGCAAAAACAGAAATGTTGAGGTGACCCTGCAGAATTACGGTGAAAAAAAGAACATAAACACAGATTATGTGCAAATGTTAAAGAGTTCAGCTTTAAAATAAAAGTTAAAAACTTTAAATACAAGAACCAGACATTATAAAACCACAATTTTAACATTATTTGTTACTAAGATCAATTTTGGATCAGCTGAACCAGGATTGCACAATGTGTTAAAATGCAATCATCAATGCAGAAAGAGCAATATTTGTTAGAATATGACATTTGAAGTGCAATGCATGCACATTTTGCATTAAAAGCTGGAAAGATTATTATTATTATTATTTTTGCACTCGATGCTCAAACATTGAGTGTATTTAGTGGCCGAGTTACTAACACTCGCAAAGCTTGATGAAGGCCAAGAGTCCGGAAATGTGGCTAACTCAGAACATCAAAGAAGAGACTTCCTGATGTTACTAAACCAAATAAAATAAAAGATTTTATAATTCAATGTTGATCAAAACAATTCATTTAATCTACAGTTGAAACCAGATGTTTAAATGCACCATATAAAACGACACAAGTTTTTTTCTCATTGTTCAACGTTAAATCAGACTCAACGTTTTTTATCTCTATTTAGCAAGAAAATTTTTTTAGAGATTGTTTTTTTTTTTTTTTTTTTTTTATTTTCCTCAAATTCAAAAGTTTACCTTCATTTGGTCAGTATCAGAAACGACTGTCTTTTGAATGTTTTGGATTTCCTTCCATGAGTTTCTCCCAGTAGTTTGTTGGAGTTTTGGCCCATTGGTCCAGACAGAACTGCTAGAGTCCATTTTGTAGGCCCCCTCACACACACACACACCTTTCCAGATCTACACACAACCTCTCCATTGGACTCAGATCAGGGCTTTATGATGGCCACACCAAAACATTGACTGTGAAACCATTTTGGCTGTAAATTGAGGTTTATTGACCATCTGGGAGACCAAGCAGTGCTTAAGATTTTACTTATTGATGTCCTTTCATTTTGTTTCAGTATTTCTACATATTTTTCTTTCCTCATGATGCCATCTCTTTTATAAAGTGCACCAGTTCCTCCTGCTGCTGCCACCCCCATAGTTCTCACTATGTTTTCTGGCATTTAGAAAACAGAAATCATTTTGATGATTGTATCTCAGCGAAAACAATTCAATTAATCCTATCTGACTTAAAAGACATAAAGTTTAATTTATTTACGGCCAGACAGTGAGGACAAAGTGTAGTTATTTAATGTACATAAATGTCTGGTCCGATTTAACTTCAGACAGTGAGAGAAAATGCTTATGTGTCTTTTTCTTTTCTTTTTATATGTAAAGATCTACGGAGAAGTAGACTACTCCGTAGATCTTTACATTTAGAGACGATTGAAGTGGTGTGTTTCTGGTAATCACGGAGGAAAGTGGGCTGGATCTTCTAGTTGAGCTGTTGCTCCTCTAAAGGTCATGGATTTCATAACTTTGCGTCTTCTCAGCCTGGTATGAAACTGAAACAAAGCGTCCAGCATCCACCGTCTTCTGGAGTTCAGTTGGAGGTTTCCCTTCAGGTTCTGTGCAGCCGCCCGTTTGGTTTAGCTGCCGTCTCGTCTCGGTGCTACGAGGAAAAGAAGTTCTCCTTTTAGAACGTCACGTCGTGTTCAGATTTGAACATCTGAACTGGAAAGATTCAGAGATTGTGAGATCGGCTTTGAGGTTAGATGCATCACCGTTTTGGTTCCAGTTAGGGAGGATTGTGGTTTTTGACGAAATATCCAGAGATCAGTCGGTCAGAGGTTCCTGCTTCTTTGTTCAGTTTATCTTTAATTTGTATTCTTCTGGTCTAACAAGTCGCAAGAGCAGCTTGCCACAAGGAGGAACCGTGTTCTTATTTTTTACAGCTTCTTATTATCATACTGAGAGATTTTATACTAAATGGTGACTCAGGAAACGATTTATTCACTGCGGCTTTAACTTCACAGAGAATGAAACTCGTTCAAAGGTATTTGGTAATTGCATACCATTTCTGTTCTTTAGAACTTTTGTCATGACTGAGAAAAGTTTCCATCCACCAGAGGAACTTTATTTTTAATATTACACCAGAAAAATGACGCTGCAGCAGGCAGGATCCAGCCGCCCACAGCGAAGGGAGTTCAGGCTTGGCTTTAAAGTCAGAGAACCGTGTGGGAGTGTGTGCCGCTCAGTTTCTGTGGTCAGGGCAGAGAAAACAGGATGCAACACTCACATCATCCAACAGCGGCGAGACGCTGAAACAAAAGATTCAACGCAGAAAGCTGCAGAGTTTCATTTTGACTCGAGGGCTTTGAATCCCAGGTAAACACTAAATGAAGGGAGTGCAAGAAATATTAGTGTAGCTCCATTTTCTCCACCCTGTGCATCAGAAAAGTATTGACACCTTCAGAACCTTTTTCGTTTAAAACGGGCAAGCTTGAATGTATGTTAACGGGATGGTGATCCACCAAAAGCGAGCAGGACATAAAAAATGCAGCCAAAAATCATGTACAGTTTACCAGAGCATTGAGTGATTAAATTATGTTATTCCTAAGTGACATAAAATTTGACGCTATTATGGTCTGCAGTATGGTCTAATGCCAAACGGAGAGAACAAGTGTTTGTTTTCTTTAGTGTCTGTGAATATCTGATTTCTTCTGGTTTACAGTTCTGCTCATCTTTGTATTAATATGTCATAAAAAATAAACGGAAGTGACTAAATGTGACTTAAGGCAGAGCAGAAAGGCCTGTTAACTCCTACTAATATGACAAGAACTTAGACCTGTAGACTTGCCACAGAGCTGCAATAAATAGGTAACACCAAACAATGAGGCAGAAAGAGATTATTGTATTCTGGTGATAGAACCAGGTTCTGGAATGGGTCTGGATTCTCGTGGTTATTCTCAAAGACTACCTGCATTCAGTCATTAAAAAAAAGCTCCAGCAACCTCTCTTTCAGGCTTAGAAGGTCATGAGGTCATTGTTGTCTGTTGTCCATAAAGTCTCCATCTTCTCTTAACCCTGCTCTTCTTCTGCTTCCTTTTCTTTCTGATCCAAAGTTTGTGACGACTATGCTGCAACGGGTCGAAGCTTCAGTGTTCGTCTGGGATACACAAAGAAACCGACTGATAAGCTGAAGTGGAAGTTTAATGTCGCTGTAATATGTATTGTAAAATCTACAACAGAGAAACCTCCTTGTAACAATAACAATTATGGCATTAATGATGATGGATCCCTCAAACTGACTAATCCGAAGAAGGACCAAGAAGGATTTTACATCTCTGAGGTTCACGATATCAATGGAAAAGAACTGCACACGAAGAATTCAAGCTTATGTATACGAGGTAGGTACAAAATATTGCATGTGTTTTTATAGTTCACTAAACATTACTATTTATATTTGACAACCCCTAAGGGATCTTCTTTTTAATTTCCTCATTGAAAATGTCAAAATATTAAGAATTAAGTTGATGTCTTCTTATGAAACTGAGTTTATTGTTTTGATCCACTGGAAGAGCTTAAACATGAACAGAACTTCAGCAGCTCACCGGTTTCTTTGTAATATCTTTCATATTCCCTCAATAACATCTGGTATTTTTGGCCCAATAAAACCTTCTCAGATCCTGTGAAGAAGCCTAAAGTGGAAGCAACATGTAAAGAAGCAAATGTGACATTTAAATGCATTCCTGATAAGGTAAGTTCTTGTTTTGCCTCTTTAAAATCCAAAAAGACTAAATGCTAACTCTGTTTTCTAAAGTTCTTATTCACATGTCCTCTTCCAGTTTTTCAGTCATAAATGATCTGCTAAACCTGCTTTTTCCTTCTCATATGGCCCTGTCAAAGTGAAAGCAGCCAAATATTATTAAGATATGATTCATTTTGATCCTTTGAGATTTGCGTTAAATGTCTGTTGTGTGACTTTAAAAAAAAAATTGTCATTTTATATTGTTCTGAACAGTGCCACTCTATTTTTTCAATGTTTTTCTTGAGCTTTTTTCTTGAACTTTCCAATCAGTCTTTGATTCTTATTTTCCTTTAGACATCCAAGAATGAAATCAAAAAGTACGAATGGCTTCAGAACAATGCTCAGATAAAGAAAACGGACTCGGCTTTTACATTGACAGCTGCAGAAACTAAAGACATCAAATTTGCTTGCAACGTTTCCAATGAAGTCAGTTTTGAAGTCAGTGATCCTGTCACTCATAATTGTGCTACAAGTAAGTATGTTTTGGTTACCATGGCTAAAAGCTACTGTTACTCAATGTGCTCCAGCTAATAACTACTACCTAAAACAAAATGAAGAACAGATTTTTTTTTTTCACTACAGGTTGTGTAGATTAGAAGTGCTCAGTAGTAAATAATGTCTATAGAAAACATGTATTTTAATGCTGGTCATCAGAAGAACTTTTTTTTCCTCTTTTGTTTTTGAAGGTGTCCCAGGTCTCCCAGGTCTTCCAGATGAATTGTGGGGAATAAGTATCTGTGTTTTTATAGGTGGTGGAGGAGGTACGTTTTCAGATTCCTTTAACATCAGTTACTAAGTTACTGCACTACATTGTAGAGATGCTGCACATCTTGTGAAGATATGTAAAAGCTGAATTCATATTCATTTAATTATTTATTTAGTTATTTTCATCGAAGCAGGATAATGTTACACTGAGAAATACTAAAAATATAGACTTCAAATGCAAAACCTAATTAATTTGTACAAATTTGTTGAAGCTTTATGTATCAAGACTATGTTGGTCATGAAGGAAAGTCTTTTTTTATTTAATTTAATTTTATTTTATTTTGCTTTGTTTGTTCGTTGAACCATTTCTGTGTTGATTTGGCCCTAAAAATGTAAATGTCCTGATATTTAAAGTGCCCATGCAATGCACTCTACCAAGATCCCCATTTTGTTTGGAAGAGAAACAGATGCATATTATCACAAACCCTCCACTCTGACTACATAACCTACCTTTGTATCTGCTTCAAGCTACATTTAAAACATGTGAAATGGCCTGTAGCAGATAAAAACTTTAAGATACTCTGGTAAAACTTGATCAATGAAAGTGAACATGTGGGATAAGTCATGACACAAGTGATTTTGTTTAATGTTTTTCTACAGTCATTCTTGACTGAAACAACTTAACCGAATTGTTTGATGTTTTCAATCTATGCCACTGATATTTCTTATCATCTTCATCAGGTATCGTTATATTGCTGATGATCATTGTCATTATTTGCTGCATCCGAACTAAGAGAACAAGGAAACTACGCCTGAAAGGTAATGTACTTAACACAATTGACTCAAAAAATTAACAGTCTTGTCATTAAAGGCTGATGGAAGCAGTTATAACTAACCCATAAAGACCTGAAAAACACCAGCACACACCACTCTTCTTGGGTTATGTGATTAAATCTTCTGGAGCACCTGTGGTCGAGGACAAATATTCTACGGTCAAATTCTTTGTGTTATTTATAAAACATGAACATATTGGGTTTTTTTTGCTTACAACAAACCCAGCTTTACTCAAAAATAATTAAAATGCTTAAGTTTTGTTTATTGACCTAGAGGAATATAATCAGCCAGTACAGTGAAAACTAACTTTTCATATTTGATTGGGCGACAAAAAAATTGCATGAATATGAAAAAGTCAATCAAGTTTCCTGAGCAAATATCAAAACTATGCCCCAGTTAATTTAATGCATAAATTTTATTTCTTTTAAAAAAAAAAAATTATTAAGTAAGTTCCATTGACATTCTTCTGTTCATATTCACTGAGCAGATGAGGAGGAGCTCCGTTTGGAGTGGACCAACACCGATCACCATCCCAATCATCCGCCTCTTCCTGACCATCCTCCTCCTCATCATCCCAACCGTCACCATCATCATCACCATCATCATCACCATCACCACCAGCAGCAGCAGCAGCAACAGGCACCGGGCAACACCGGCCCTCGACAGAGCCGCTCCAAACAAAACCGCCAACCTCGAGCCCGAGCCCCTGAACCCAACGGCCAACCTCAGCCCAGCCCACGGAGAACCGGACAGGTAGGAGCCGCTTGGTTCCTGAAGGGCTTTAGCTCTGACTTTGACTGGATTAAGATTCATTTTTACTGGACTTAGCTTAAAGAAAATGTTTCACTGCTCGATCTGAGCCTGTGTGTTTTCAACTTGTATATATATATTTTTTAATCTGATGTTTTGGTTTTCACTTCCTTTAGGCACAGAAACCTGCCAGTGACGCTGACGATGAGCAGCCTCCTCCTCTTCCTCAGCCCAGAAAGAAAGGCCCCAAAACGCAACTAGATTAAAATTCATCTGAGATAAGTTTAGACACAGACGTTTTATTCCTCCTGATTTTCTGGGCTGCTCCACTTTAATGTTTTTTTTTTGTGTGTGTGTGTGTGTGTGTGTGTGTTCAAACTAAAAAAAACTTCAGTTCATGCAGATTAACAAACTACAACCTGCGATATCGTTGAAAAGCTTTAATGCTGAACTCAAACTAAAAATGTTCAAACTCTTTCTGACTTCTATTAAAATGTCACTTTTGATATTTTCTATGGAGGATAAATCAAATTGAGTAACAAGTTTCCCATATATTGATGGGAACTTCCTTTCAGCTGGCTGAAAGACAGCTAGCTGTTCCTTGACAAACTTTAAATAAGAGTTAAATACTTATCTAGTTAGCATTTAACCACTCATCAATCTCCTACAGTTAGTGCTGTTTTCATACAACAGCTAACATGTAAAGCAGTGACTCATCGAGACTAAAAATATCCTTTTAAAGAGGTTCCTGGCAGAACATAAGCAGTTTTAAACACAATTTAACGCATCAATTAAAGTATGAAAAGGCTTCACACAGATGACTATAGTTGATTGTAAGTCCTTTAAAAATTATTTTAAAGCCACTGAACACATCAGACAGCCTTCAATTGATTCCAAGAAAATGCAGCTGCATTTTGCAAACACCTTTATCCCAGTTCATTTTGGACAATTTCAGAACTAAAAGGCTCGTTTTAACTTTTTTTTCCCCATTAAATGTGTAGCTCAACAGGTAACCACATGTTCTTCGTAATGTGTGGTTACCAAGACCACACATTACCAAGTATCGGTATTCTCCCGTGAATGAGAATACCAAGATATTTGCACTGAAAGACAAATGTAAATTTCTGAACATTCAATTTCAGAATTTGATCTGAAATTGATCAAATTCAGTCTTGAATTTGAAAACAACCACAGTTTGAATTGATCTGATTGAAAAATAACGCTTTATGGGATTTTTCTTTTTACATAATTGAAGGCATTTTGAGGTTTACTGAAAGCCTGTTTTTGTGTGCTCTCAGAACGGTAAACAACTGTATCATCAGCATAGAGGTGAACATTTGAAACAAGAGCTTTAAAGTAGATGATAAAAAAACTGTGGTCTAAGGCCTGACCCTTGAGGAACGCCCATTAAACTGTTAAGCAACCTACAAATTTAACCATCTGCCTGCACATATTCAGATCCACCGCACAATTAGTTGTGTAATTCCTACATCAAAAGAGTCTTTGCATCGATAAGTTCAGTCTTTGTAACTAAAATAACAGTAATGAATGACATAAACAGCATCACACAGTTTAATATGTTGGATCACTTTTGCAGTATTATGAATAATTTATGTTTTTCTGTATATTTGAAACTGATCATGTCGTTTATATATCTATGTATATTTTTTACTTTTTTATTTTCTAAGAGAAAATGAAAACAGAACTTGCTAGGGACAGATTGAAGTGGGAGATGTATTTTGTGGATACAATTTTCAGTTGCTGCATCAAACTATGTGAGAGTTTCTTTGCATGTATGTAAAAACAATGTTGTCATATAACTAATGAATTATGTTTACTTTAAGACAAACTCCTCTTAGTCAAAAAAAACAAAACTATCATGGAGCACATCGTGTGTTTAGTTTGCAAATGGTGGTCAACAGTAGAGATAGGCGGCTAAAATCATTCATTGATATGTGAAAATTTGGAAGTCACAACCTTCTTTAAAAAAAAAAAAAAAACTAAATCCTTTATCATTCTTTGTCTTTTTTAGCATATATTTTAGGAAAGCAAATGTTACATTTAAAATCTTGCGATGCGTTTCTTGTTCTGACGTCTTCTGGTATGCCAGAAGGCTCCAGCTTATTGGTGCGCTTCCATTTAGCCAAACTATCTAACTTTAGTTTCCCGATTTGTTTGTCTTTGTCTGCTTCTGTTTTCTATTTAAATGCTGCTTGTGGTGCATGTTAAGGTACATTAAGGCTGTTCCGAGTTTTCCCACTTGGTGAAATAATATGTCACTTGCCTTTATTTGGTGATGCATGGTGATGCCTTTATTTGTTATACACAAAAGACAAAAGGATCTCAAACTCCATTATTTATCTTTATTGTCTTTGTTCCGTCATTGCATGCTGTAATTTTTTTTGTTCTATTTGTATTTTTAAAAGTCCAAAAATAAAAAATAAAAAACATAGTATGGCAGCAACTGCGATTTGACCTTTTTTCAGACTGACGTTTTCACCTTTGCAAGTGACTTCATTTTCAGATTGAGTGTGCAACCCGGTGATGTCTGCATCTTTCACCATATCCTGTGCATTTTTGCTGAAAATGTGTTTGTGGTTTGCTGCTCTTGTGTGCATTCGCAGAGCGCCGAGTGCAAGATCGCTATCGTGCTTTTGTGTCGACGTGGAGATGTTTTCCTGCAATTGGAGCAATAACTTTGATCGCCATTCACATTGTTATTTTTGTTTTCCTCATTAGTCTTTGCGTTCTGATTACCGGTGAGACTCAAAGGGATCTGGTAACTTGGAAGGAGTTAGTCACATTTGGTGCGTTGGGCATAAATGCTGCTGCACCTTGCATCTCAACACCCACACACAAAACACTGTCGTCCAGTGACAACGTTTAATTGTGTTCACACTTTTCTACAGCAACACAGAAATAGCATCTTTAAAGGCGGTGGTATTCACAGCTTGTATGTCGCTACAGAGAAACAATTAAGTGTGACTTCTCCAAAAAACATCAATGCAATTGTTTTCTAGAAGTTAGCGACTGTTTCTTTGACATTTCTCATCCTTTTTGAAGATAATTTAGATGTTTCTACGCTTATCTAAAGATAAGATTCTATGCTGGAGGATGGTGGTTTTCTTTGTTTTAAAAACAATTTGAATATCTAACCACCACTAGCTGTGAAAGGATTGTCATCTGCATAACACTTATGCCTTTAGATTCTCATGGTTAAAACCTTAGTCAGTAAAGTAGGTTTTTTTTTTTAGTGTGGCACATTTTGCTAAATAAATTCAAAATGTTTATGTTTCAGTTTGGTTTTACATATATATATATATATATATATATATATATATATATATATATATATATATATATATATATATATATATACAATTTTATGCAGCCAGAGTTGTATTCATGCTGGAGGATGTTCGATTGTTTCATTCAGTTTGATGTCAGCATGTAAATTTGTTGCTACAAACAGATGCATAAAGGGAATATCATCTGCATAACGTGGCAGATCATGTTATGCTTTGAGGAAGCATAACTTTTTATGCTTATCTGTAGGAAACATTGCTACTTCTCCTGGAGGACAATGACTATGACTAATGTGAAGAAAATATTTATTCAGCAAAGAAAAGTCCAAAAGTGAAGACATAAGCTGGAGTCTGGGTTCTGCAGAAAGAGGAACCTTTCAGAACTAAGGTTTTATGCAGAACAGTTTCTTGTTTGATACATTTCCATCTAGGAAGAAACATGAAGCTTGATGGGAGCACTTACTCCCTCTGGTGGTTGTTTTTCTGAACTGCAGCAACACAAGGAATGAAACGCTGAACTTGAGGTTAGTAGAAAGTAACAAAAACGTATTTGGAAGCAAAACATTTCTACAAAACATCAGGGATCTTCTAATAATAGATTTTTTCATCTTGTAAAGTCAACACATACACACACACACACACACACACACACACACACACGTTTGTACTGTAAGCATGTCAGGCAGGATCACACATCATGCATCTTTCCAATCATCCACATAAAAACAAACAGCATTATGAAACACATTTTTTAATGTGTTTTTTTTAACACATTTTTTAACACATTTTTCCAATGAACTTTTTCCAAGCATCCCCTCATCATGCTGCTGCCACCACCGTGTTTCACCCATTTGGGGTTTTCATACTGGTAGTTTTCTACCACACATAGTTGTGTTTATTCATTCAGCGGCTTTGTCTTAGCTTCCCTTCATTTTAGTAGTTGCATTCATGCTTAATCCAAATATTTTTCCTAATCCTAACCATTCTCTATTCCTCACCCCAACTATAACCAAAACTTAATTCTAAACCTAAGTAGACCACAGTAGAAGTCCACCCTGAACAAAACAGCCATTTTATTCATAAAATGTTGTGTGTCTTTCTGTTTTTCCCCCATTAGTTATCCCCAACACCCTCAAGGTGTCCCCCCAGGCTCCGTCCCCGGTCGTCCAAGAGGGAAATGACCTCAAGCTTTGCTGCAGCGTCAGTCGAGAACTGACCTTCCCTTCCCTGACCTATTTGTCCGTCTCCTGGTCAGTGAAAAAGGGCACCACCTCTGAGGAAATTCTCAAGTTTGGTCCTCAGCTAGACATCGTCCCAGGTCCAACTTTCACCAGCCGCTACTCTGATGGGGGCCTGCGCTTGGTTTCCGGGAGAGACGGTGTGTTTGAGGTGGTGATTTCCAGAGTCACCGCGTCTGATCAAGGGACTTATGAATGCACTGGGACCGAATGGACATTTGAAAGTGGAGGGAAGTGGGTGAAGATCGCAGAAAGCTCAAAAGAGATGGGGGGCCGTTACTGTCACCTCTGCTTAAACATCTGATCTGTTGGATGGATTATTATTAACACTTAATATGCTAGATTACTTTTGTAACTTTGGGGATCGTGTGTTCTTTTCTGTTTTTGGTAAAGCTGGTTATGTCGTGTTGCATTTTTTTCATTTTATGTCTTTGCGAACCGTTTGATCGTTGAAAAGTGCTCTATGGGTCTGATGTCATTTCCTTTCATTTCCTAATTGTTATTTTTTACTTTTTGAATATGAAAACAAAACTCTCTAGAGTAGTGTCCAGGGAGGAATATGTTCTGAATAAACTTTTCAAACTACTTGTGAGTTTCTTTGTATGTGTGTACATTTTTTATTTTATTTTTTTATTTTGTCAGATAGCTAATAAATTCTAAGGTCTCCGGGAATATACATAAATGCTTACTGGAACATTTTTGACACAGATTATTATAATATCTTGAAAACAAACCTTTTCTTCCTTTTTATTAACTTTGAATAGACTGACTCATTCATAAAAGATCAAAAAGATTCATAAAGACCATATCATCAGCGTAACATGACATTTTGATCACCGAGGACAAACGAGCGATATGACAGATCCTTCCTCCCAACAGATGCTTCCAACAAACTAGAAACATGTTTTTTTCATTTCTTGTAAATAATCTATTGTTTTACGCACTAATCTTTATGTAATTTAGCTTCTTTTTTAAATAAATGATCCTACTTAGCTTCCCAATTCTCTGAATTTTAGTACACCGTTGTTAATAAATGCACTGTGCTGTTCTTGCTTTCTGTTTCAGGATTTTGTCTTTGTGTGAATACACTTGCTTTGACTTGTCTCTCACTTTGTTGTTGGTGCACCTGAATTTCCCTGCTGAGAGACAATAAAGTTTATTCCATTTTAGTCTTTTGTACTTTTGGGGTGGAAAACAATGTCTCTTATGTGGTTTTAAGAGAACAAAGTCAGTTTTGGAGTCCCACAGCTTCTGGGTACAAACAAAATCATTCTCTGAGTGGAATGCTAACTTCTATCCACAGAGCAGACAGGTCTGGGCCAGATCTGGAATCAGGACGGTACTGCTGGCATGGCAACTGCAAATTGCTTTATTTGTGCCAATTTCCTGATCTCTCTGTCTCTTTTTTTTTCTTTCCTCACCATCAACTTCAAACAAGATTTACTAATTTGCAAAAAAAAAGTTTTTATCCTTCATTGATAAATTCATTCAAGTCCATGTTGATGCATTTCAGCAATAATTCAGAAACATGACCACTTGGCATGACATCTTGGAGGGATTACTCCCTCTGGGGGCCTTACTTTGAACTGCACAGACGCGGTACAAATAAAAAGAACAGCGGTTAAAAAAAGTTAATAAAAATATTTAGGAAGCAACTTTGGTTGGTTGACAGAAAAAAATATTGGCTCATAATCTCAGGCAGCATCTCTGGGTTGCATTCAAAGATCTTATTGTGTTGTCCAGAATCACTGGACCGCATCTAAACACAGCATGGACATTATTTTGGTTATAATTTCATATTTTCTGTGGTTTAAACATTTCTTTTGCAATGATTTAATAAATATATAGGCTTTGGTGGGTTAACAAGCAGAATTTAGTGCACAAGTTTAGATTTGTTTGGTGCAGACCGAGGTGGTTTGACCATTTTCTGAGGATGTTGGAAGATTCATCAAATAAAGAGAAAGATGACGCTGTAGTGTTGCACAGCTTGTTCGTAGCCAGAAGATGGCGACCTAACGTCACATCAGCTGCACGTTAAATCATCACAGGTGTATCAGAGGCGCTATCTTATGAATGAAATGCTCAGCTTTGCCTCACATTTATTTAAATCTGTTTTAATATGTCCTACTCAAAGTATGTGAATATAATAATATCATCAAATACATTGCCTCGAAAGCCAGATAATGCTCCAACCTCTGTGTTTTTGTTTGCTTTGTTGCAGCAGATGCTAAGTTGTAGAGACTGGATTCATGCACACACTAACACACACTTGGATAAGCGACCTTTGACCCTAGGGTTGTAACCCTAAACTCCTTCTCCTCCTCCTCCTCTGCCTGCAGAGAGGCTGACTGAGGCATGAACTTTGACCTGTGTAGCGGCTCTGGGTAAATTCCCAGCATGGTTCTAACCGCAGGACTGGAACTGACAACAGGAGTGCGTCATCACTGGAGAAAAGGGCGGCCATCGGAGAGAGAGAGAAACATGACGGCTTGGCTTGAACAACAACCGTCATCTTGGAATCTCTTTACATTAGGATGACAGGCGTGGTTTTTCCAGAGAGGGAGACACACACCATCATACTGCCTCCACCAAAACCTGTTCGGCATTGGCAGAGTGTCAGTTATAGTGTTTTAGAGACAAATGTGGCTCCATTTAAGAGGGCATTACTTCAACATATTTTTAATCAAGTAAAAGTAATAAGTTGCTGTCCAAAAAATGATTCAAGTAGGACTAAAAATGTTATGGATAAAAAGTCTATTCAAGTACTAACTGATGAAATTATCAGTCATTTAATATTTGAAAATATTAAATGGTCATCAGATGGACCAAATCATTTTATATTTTGCGGATCAAAATGACAATAATTAGGAGAAATAAAAAATAAATCAATAAAAATAAAGCATAAGAAAAAAATTTCCCAAGCAGTTCCTTTCAATAAAAAAAGCATGAAATTTTAACAACAACTGCAGGTGTGTGTCTGTTTCCAGTGAGTTTTTGATTAAGACATGTTCATTTTTCATTCTATGGTGAGACTAGCGATACTTGATAATAAAATTACTCAAGCGAAAGTAAAAAGTACAGCGTAATTAAAAAAACTCATGAAAGTACATATGCAAATTTAACGAATTACTAATGTCCAACTGTCGGTGAGTAATAATATGTCATGAAAAGTGTCAGTAGCTCCACCTGGGACCTCCCTGCTTCCTCCTTGCTCACCTAACTTCCGGCCTCTCTCTCTCTCTCTGTCTCTCTCTCTCTCTCCGTCCCTCCTTCCCAATCAGCTTTATTCAGTCTGTGGATGTGTCTGCTTCGCTCCCACACTATTAAAAGCAGCTCAGTCATGTCAGCGTGTGGAAAATCGTGGGAACGCTCTCGCCGGGTCTTCATTTCTCTGGATTAGGATACACCGGGTGTGCGCTCGTTTTCTGGGCTTTTTGCGGCTCCGCTTGGGGTGTGTACGGAGCGCGGCGGACTGGCTGCCAAGAGTTTCATTAGGGTTTGACCCTCCATCTACGGGAGGGTTGGTTTTTCTTGTCCCAACCCAGGACAAAGGACGTGGGGAAAATTAAGGACTAAAGGGAGACGGCAGAGTAGGAGAGTGGTGAACATGGAACCCGGTTTCCTTGCACTCGCCTTTGGTCTTTTATTCATCGGTAAGATACCTCTCTCGATTTGCTTGATTGTTAATGAATGATTAACTCCTATGGCTCGTACCAGACTGGAAGTCATACGGAATGCCCTTTGGGAGTCTGTGAATTTGAACTATTTTGTTATTTCACATGCTCATGAGTTAGCAATTAAATTATTTATAACAAAATCACCATTGATGTAGTCCATCAGACGATTCGGCATACACTAGAAGTGTAATAATGTCTTTATTTGAATGCATTTTAAACTTAAACCACTGTTACCTGGTGGTAGCGGCTGGTAAGCGCTTCAAATTTTGGAGGAAAAGAATCAGCGACTGCAGCTAAATAACAGTGAAATTGGGCATGTTTTATCGTCGTTTGTTGTTTTTCTTTTACCCGAATTGATAATGAGAACCACAATGCAAAATGTAAAGGAATTAGTTTTAGTTTATACTAACTATTATGTAAATAGAGGGAAATAATCAAAAAAAGCAATTTTCCTAAATGGAATTTGGTGCATGAGAAATGTTTAGCTAAGTCTTCAATTCATGACTGACAAACATATAATATTAAAGTGCAACTACTTTCTTTTGGTTTTGATCACATCTCCCAGTTAAAGAAACCTAACATGAATCTCCTAAGGTAGTAATACTTATTATATCTGCAATAGCCTTTAAATTTTCTACATTTTAAGGTTTTAAAAGCATTTCTTGTTACCAGGTGTTGCAAACCTTTTTGGATTTTAAAGGGAGAAGTTGACTACAACTAACATTGAGTTTAAAATCCACATTTTTAATGTTCTTTATTGTATTTAATGAGACAAAGTTGGAAAAAATGGTATAAGAACACTTAAACTGAACTAAAATGATAACATAAATAACTGGAAAACGAGCTGAATTCTTTAAGTTAACTATTTGAACTAAAGAAAAATAAAAAATAAAAACAAACAATTTTTGTGGTTTTGGGTGCAACACTTGTATATTTTAGAAGATCTAAAACATACAAGTGAATTTTATCATAGAGGTGTCAGTTACTAAGTAAATGTGAGAAAGTAATGTCCATGTTGCGATTTACTTAACCTAAGTCAGGTGATAAACTCATCAGCTTCTGAAATTACAGAGTCATCAGCAAAACATGAGTAGAGCAGATTCTGCACAGAGTAGGAGTTAATCCACAAGCAGAAATTGAGGAAATATCTCTTAGCAAAGTAAAATTATCGCCTCACACTTAATTAAACTGCACTTCTACACATCCTGTTTCTTTACCGTCTCTGCAAAGACGGTAAAGTTGTTGTATTTTCCCTGTTTTTGTTTATTTTCTCAGGCTAACCTTTCATTAATCTGTCGGACTGTGTCTCCCTTGAGATCAATTTGTCCAGATTGAGGGGACAGGGTCCCATTAGCCAGCTTTTAGTCAAAGCGAGCCGGCCTCTGTGATGAACAGCATCGTTTGTTTCTGTTTCGCCAACACCGCCGCTGTCACCGCGTTTACAGTACCAGCCGCTGAGCCGGTTTTACCCTGCAGGAGGTACAGGCCGGGGACTTGTTCCCTGGCCTACCTGAGTGCTGAAGTCGCCATATGCTGATGGGCGTCACAGTGGGCTTCTCCAATGTGAACGCACGTGAGAGCAGGGGAGAGTTGGCTTAAATTAGTTCAGGGAAAGACGATCAGATGTCGCCAGCACGCATGCGGTTTTGCATTTCTTGTACTTATACATGCACCAGATCTTGCAGAAGCCGCAACCGTGATCTTTAGCTTCCAAACTAAAGTTTAATAATGCTCACAGCATTTTTTTTGTTTTCCTTTTTATTTGCATGTTCTGAGACTGCGCTGACGTATTCGTTGGTGTCTGGGTTCCTGTTTTGTGGTTGCCAAAATATCACACATACAGTCAGATTCACATGAGAAAGAAGAAGAAGCCTGTTGGTCAGACTTCTGCTTTAATGTCCCTGCCAGACTGTATAATTTCTCTCCTGGAATAAACCGAGTGCATCAGCACAGCTTTTTAGACATTCATGGCCTGAATCCAGCCTCTAACATCAGATTTTGATGATCCTGCCATGTTTTCTCACATTTTCCTCCAGAATCAGCATAAAAAAAAATACAAATATCGATCAAGTTTCAGGTGATACGTCTGCAGAAACCGATAGGGATCAGGTTTTTCTTTGAGCTGCAGGAATCTATAAAGTGCATGTTTTTTCAAATGCTGGTTTTTCTAAAATGGTTGGTTTGGTTTTACAACTGTATTTATGTTTATTTAATGACCCCGGGGTCAGGCCCGCGGCGCCGTTCGCAGTAAGAACCGCTAAAGGAGAGCAAGGGCTTTTTGTGAGTTAGAAAGTGAGCTTAATGAAAATAGAAGAAGCTCTCTGTGCAGCTGTTTGAGCTAAAATCAGAACTAGAAACCAAATTTGGACCCATTGAATGTGAACTCGGATTATATATAAAAAAATCAATCATTGACTTCATTTTTAGCTTTCAGCTCAAATCAGATTGGAAAATTCAAATTCGAATTGATAAGAGAGGAATTGTGTGGGTAAAACATTCGGCTGCCAGTCTGGCTTATCAGGCCTTGGTTTGCTTCTAACTGAACAAACAGTGTCTGCATGAAGGACACGGCTGCTCTGTTTATTTCTGCCGCCACCGTTGAAAATTTGCCTCAACTTTTTAATATTTTAAAAAGTGGAAAAAAACAAACAAAACAAAACAAAAAAAACATCTGAGCTGTGATTGTTTAAAATCACAGCCCACGCTGGATTTGCTTCCTTCGCCGTGTGAATCACGCTGTGGGCACGCTAACGGTTCAGCAGCTAAAGAGTTAAAGATGAATCCAGCTATGGGGCACCACCAGCATGCACCGGGTTTCTTATTTTACAACATCTTGACTCCTTGGAAGCAGAAGAAGCCCACACTCTGCAGGCTCACAGAAATAACAGCTGGCTCCCTTCCATAAGCTCCAATAGAGACGAACTCCTCAGTTTCACCGAGAGGCCTCTTTACGTGGGCATCTTTAAACTAAAACCAGTTTAGTTTTCAGCTTTAGACCCAACGAGGATGATCAGATGGCAGCAGCCTGGTGCATTTAGCATCTAGACAAGGTGAAGATTTTTTTTAAGGCATCCTACTGTGTTTTTTTTTCCCCAGTTAAAAAATGTTTAAAGTTGACTTTAAGTTTGAAAATATGACTAAGTGATTATATCAATATGCGGAACGGTAAAGACAGGAAGTAGTTAGTTTCAGGAAGTAATAATAATTAAAAAAACACCTGACCTCAGTCTATATATGTGTTCACATAATTACCACACTATGTTGCCATAGAAGTTCTTTAACCCATGTTTGCTTTCACTGTTACTGCTGTATTTAAAAAAACAAAAAACAGAACTGTAATAAACAAACAGTGCTCAGCCTGGTGGGGCACTAATACAGCCTGGCAGCCCACCAGGCTTATAATACACCGAGGGAAACCCTGGATGTGGAAAGGTATGCTGGAAAACAATCTGTGAATGCTGCGGTGTGTTCTGGATGATGCCTTCAGTTTGGACCAAAATCTTTCAAGAATGTTTCCAATAAAGAATTAAAAAAACTTCTGAAGGAGAAGAGTTGTCCAGCTGAATACGTTTAATCATGTTTTCTAGAATATTTTGAATATCATGACGGAGCAGCTCTGTTAGGTCAGTTCTTATTTGTTCTTTTTCTTAGACTTTTGTTCGTCATTTCAACATCTTTCTCCTCAACTTTCTAACCGTAGCGCTAGATGGGAAATTTAAGAAGTTGCAAAAGCAAATGAGGTGGGTTAGCAGTTGGGCAACAGGTGATGACGTCATCTAGGTCATGTTACTGTTCAATATTGTGTCGTCTGACCAGATATTAAGTTGTTACCATGACTGTCGTGACCCAACAGTCTTTAGTCAGAGGCCCGTTTTGATTTGTTGGAAGGCTGACTGCTATCAGAGATCCTTCCTGCTCGCAGCATCGCCATCCTCAGTTACTTTTTGAAGATATTTGAATGATATGAATTACAACAACATTCAGGATATAGAGTATCTTTGGGTTGAATGCAACACACCCACTGTACTATGCAAAGGAATTGCATCCGATTTGAGAAAAGTAGCAAAAAGTTCAAACAGGTTTTAAAGAGTGTCAGAAAGCCTGGAGATATATTCACCTCAAAAGGCCACCTCCAAAAAAATTACGTCAAAGTGTGGCTTCTTAGAAAGAAACTGGAACAAAATGAGGGATGACTCAGCGTAATGCGTCAGAATCCGCGCACAGAAAGTTAAAAAGTGCAGCCCATGCTCGACTAGCTCTTGCATCGTGTCATTATGAACGTCCCTGGTCCGTGTTTCCCTCAGGTCACGACAAGCCCGGCCTGTGTCGAGTCTTGGTATCTGTTGTACATGTCGAAACAGAGTTACAGTGTGAAAACATCACCCGCCTCCTCCTGAAATACAAAACTCCACCTGTGAGACGTTCGGGGAGCCACAGGCTGACTTTGCCGCCCGTTTTCTCCGCATATTGTTTGTAGCTTGAACGAACAAAACGCCTTACAGAACCCCGCACAAATATCCAAACTTTTAATTTTTAACTTACATAATATGGGTGTTGAGTGCCAAACAAGTCTCTGTTGTGTATTAAAGGGTTAATCTGTGGAGTTTTGTCTGTCCTTCCAGGTGGATGCTCGGCCCGTGTGGTGACGGTCTCTCCTGGTCCATTAATCAGGGTGGAAGGTCAGCCGGTCTCCATCAGGTGTGACGTCAATGACTATGGAGGACCTAGTGAGCAGGTATTGTCTTGGCATTTATGCTAATTGTTGTTTTTGCTCTGTTAAAAATGATCAACCACATTGATGATGGAAGATTGTTGGGTTATACGAAGAAGCAGGATCAGAAAATGGTGGTTCACTGACTGAAGGTCACTGTTATCCTCCTCTGCCCTGCAGGATTTCGACTGGGAGATGTCCAGGGATGGAAACGAGCCAAGGAGTCGAATCATCTCCACCTTCGAATCCAGTTTCTCGGACCCTTCGTTCAGCAGGCGTGTCGCGTCCGGTGACATCTCAGTGGTGCGTCTCCAGGACAACGAGGCGGAGCTAAAGATCGGCGAGGTGAAGCTGACAGACTCCGGTTTCTACCTCTGCCGAACGCCGAGTACCGACCCGACCACCAGCGGCAACTACGACGCTCAGGTCCAGCTCAGGGGTAAGATGGGAAGAAATCTGAGTAAAGGCAGCATTTTTCCAATAAACTCTGTCCAAGCATCCCCGTATCATGCTGCTGCCATCACCGTGTTTCACAGTAGGGTTTTCAGAGTACTGGTTTTCTGCCACACATAGCTGTGTTGGTTCATTTAGCAGCTTTCTCCATTCCTCACTAGAGCTTTGCTAACTATCTATTTATATCCTCCTGCACACACACTGTGTGAACGCTGGTTTTAGACAATTACTGGCCTGCACACAGACATAGAGCACACACTCTGGTGGTGGAGAGCAGATGTCAGGTGGGAGTACTTGGCTTGTGTCGAATTAGAACCAGGGAGATGGAGATTTGGAGAGAATCTAAATGACATTGTACGACTGAAAACGTTGGACGAAGCTGTGCCATTCAGCACACTGAGGGTTTATTTTTCCAATTAATTTTTAATTCTGTGTTGGCTAATCATTGCAGCATTTTTGCAACTTAAAAGCATGCAGCTCAGTAAGTTGCAATCACTTTAGATCCATTGCAAGGATTAGAGGTAAGAGTGCTAAATGTTATCAAAGTTAGCAAATATGCTGAATCCCTGAGCGAAATATTAGCTCGGCTATTAGCGGAAATATGGCCGCTCTTGTTTCATAGTAACGTTGTCGAGTCTGGTGATAAGTCTAACAAATTTTCATGCTGCATTGCTACGCTAGTGCTGCCTTGCATTGCAAAATATTTATTTTGTGGCTCTGTCATTTTGAAGTAATTAACAAAACTTTTAAGAGTAGGTCAAGAAAGATAAGTCAGGCCCTCTCGCATCACCTGCACAAAAGTTCATCTCAATAAATTTCAATAGCATCAGAGATTTTAGATTCATTGCTCTTTTAGCAAGTATGCTAAATGTTTTCAAAGTTAGCTAAAATGCTAAACTCCTAATCAAAACATTAGCTTGTCTATTAGCGGGTTAGCTGAAGTGTGACCACCGCTTTAACCTTGTTGGTTGTGGTGACTGCGACAGACTGGCGACCTGTCCAGGGTGTACCCCGCCTCTCGCCCGGAACGTGAGCTGGAGATAGGCACCAGCACCCCTCCCGACCCCACTGAGGGACAAGGGTGAAGGAAAATGGATGGATGGATGGATGGATGGATGGATGGTTGTGGTGAAAAAAATCTAGCAAACATTTATGCTACGTTGCTACGCTGGTGCTGCTTTGCAATGCAAAACATTTATTTTGTGACGCTGTCGTTTTGAAGTTATTAATAAATGTTTAAGGGGAGGTCAAGAAAGGTCAGCCAGACCCTTTCACATTATCGAACTCAAACTAAATACGTCAGTCAATGCTGTGTTTGTGTGGCTAGCATTTTTTTTTTTTTTTTTTTTGGGTTTCCTTAATCGTAAAGTTATTATATTATAAAGCCGGCGAATGTAGTTTGATACACCTTGTAATTGTTGTTGATGTTTAAACCGGGTGGGACTCAAAGCTAGACTTTAGCCAAGTCTTACAATTCTGCAGTTTTTGTCTGGTTGTGCTTGTGAGCAAAAGTGCCACTGAGATGAAAGTGAAACTGTGAGGTTAATGTCCTGAAACATAACAGCAGCATGGAAAAGTACCAAACATGAAACTAAAATCACTTCAGCGAAGGTTCATGTTTAATACAGAACAACTCATTTAATTACAGAAAGTGAACTAAAGCAAATCTACCTCAGTTTGTTTGCATTCATTGTAAAGAGGAAGTAGACCATAGCAACAACCTGTTCAGCAACAGTTTACCCTCCTGGGAAAGTACTTTTCTTTTTTTTTTTTTTTTTAACTGATGAATGACATTTGCGACTCAAATTCGATATGATCTCAGCCTGCCTGATCCCAGAGATCAACTGCGACTCTTCCTCATCTGACGGCAAAACGTTGAAAACATAATCGGTATTAATTTGCACATGAGCGCTGATTCTGATTTGAGATAAACTGTGACGAACTGGCTTGAAGCTTGGACCATTAACGAAGTTGACCATGCCGTCTATGCATATTTTCCACTGTTTCCCCTTGGTTTTAATTGGCTTTCCGTTTCATAATTAAGAACAAGCTTTCTGTTTGGCAACCCAGGCCCCTGAAAACCAAACCCCCCTTCCAGTTCAGTACATTTATTTCCTTTAAAGAAAACAAAAAAAAAAAAACATCTTGCGTGGGAGGAGAAAGACGGGATCTTTCTCGCTCCGAAGCCTACATTTTAAGAGATGAAGTGACGGAGAGCGTAATCAGACAGCAGGTTAGTTATCTCCATAATGCACCATCATGTTCGGCTGCTCTCTGCTTCCCAGCACAGCTCCCCAGACACCTTGTTAAATTTAGACCTGAATTAACAAGGCGGCCGTGTTTGCATGCGAGCGAGCTCGTTGTGTGCATGCTAAGCATATGTATTAGCATTCGCAATGATTTCCACGCAGATACCTGCTCGCGTACTTCAAGTCACGAAGAGTTAGATTTCCACCAGTTGAGAGAGACGAACACGATCGCGCGTGTGCGACGTTCTCGTTGCTACGCCGAGGATGTTTGGTTATGTAAGAACAAGGGAAGTTTGCTGAGCCTTTTAGGCTAATTTTAATAGGCAGAACAAAACACAATTATGTGCACCGTCCTTGTTATGTGCAATAGATGCTCAGCTCAGTGTAGCAGGTTTCAAAGAGCTCCCCAAACATCAAAATGGATCTTACTATTATTACTATTATTATCTTTTGATGACTAACTTGAGCATCTTTGTCGACTGAAAGGGATTAAGTCTCCAAGTCGAAGCATGCTGGACATTTTGGTGCCAAATTTAGTAAGTGAATTTCCTGTTGCCACTAAAAGAGTACCACAAAGAAAATCAGCTTTTTTTTTTTTTTTTTTTTTCCTGCTCATTGAGCCTCATATTTTGTCCTACTCATTCACAAACTCCAAACTCTTCCAACACCTGATTGGTCTGTCCTTTAGGGACTCTGGTATTGGCTTGATTTCATCGACTCAATTTTTTTTCTTGACTTCCTACAGTTTGTTGAGCTTAGATAATCCTAAAATACTAATTACAGAATCGCCGAAACAAAAAAGCCAAGCTTGACATCCTGATATTTCAAAAATAATAAGATTATCTGGAAAAACGAGGAGAGGGGCTTGTTTTCTGGTTTAATGAAGCTGTTACATCTGTTTCCTGCTAGACAGCATTGTTTTCTCAAGTTGATGAAGTAACTTGAGAAAACACGTTATTTGTCAGTTTATGATGCTACAGTAAACTCTTGGTTAATATCTTCACAAGCTGATATAACGAAGCTGCAAGGAAGATTAAAATGGACTCCAGAACTTGAGATAAACAGGAATCCCAGTAAATTAAATGCAAAATAAGGTTTTCTCAAGCTAGTAACATAAAAATGACCTTTTATTTGATATTTTTAGATGTTGTATGTTTTTATTGATCACTTTAGTTAAATAGATCTACATAAAGCTGTGTTTTCATTTGGTGATATGAGTTGGACTAAAAAAAAAAAAAAAATCAGAGTGGTGTTCTTTGTTTTTTTTTTTCAAACCGAATGCTTCCACAGCAAAGTCTGTCTTATGGGATGTAAATGTGCCATCCGTGTAATTCCAACAATGCACAACTATGTTCTTCTTATTCTGGGCCATCTGCCTCTTGTTGGCCACATTTTCAACATGACTAGAATCGCTTTCCAAACCGGACAAATTTAGAGACGAAGCTCGTGAACACTGGGAGCTGCTAGGACTTTGATGGGGCTAAAATAATGGGCTTTGTTCTCCAATGGAGGAGGTTCAGATTTACAATTTATTCATGTCGGTAACATGCATTGCATGGTTGTTTTTTGCTGTAGAATGCTGTACTTTTGTCACAAGATGTTTGAATAACTCGGATCACAAGACAAAAAAAAATCTCCTGCTGTAATAAAACTAAAATGAATGGCTTATCCGTGATTTTGTTCATAACTACCTGTGATACCGTCATATAAGGTGGTGGCAGTATTATGCTTTGGGAATCAGGAAATACCTGATGGACTAAAAACCAGAGTTTTTGAAGGTTTACCTTGAAATGTGCACGTTGCAGTTTCTGTGAATCCACTTTATTCAAAATTTGATGTCAATCTGACAATAATCATTTATATCAAGGAGCCATTCAGTGATTTTATTTTTTTCTTGCAGGGTTTGCTTTTTACACATAATCATTTTGTATTTTACTTGAGATTATTCAAGTGTGATCTTCAAATCTTTCTTTTATTAATTTCTTTATCTACAAATCTTTCAATAGTAAAGTATTTAGTAACATACCATTTGGTCTTTTTAAAAATGAAGCTCAGAGGGACGAGAGGTTTTACATTGTTACATCTTCAGACAACCTCTGCAGTCAGATGTTCTCCTTCAAGTTGTTCAGATAGAAAGAAAATGTTATTCTGCTTTTAGCTAATTTTTAGTAAAAGAGAAAAGAACTTAATCTACTTTATGCTCACAAACAACACTCACAGTCTCCTCAGTGGTCTTGCTATCTATTGCCTCTGCTCAAACTTGTCATGAATGATGTAGCTCTTCACCAACAACTGCTAAAACAGTATTTGACCTAATCCAATTAAAACGTTCATAATGTGTTCATTGTTCTAAAATATATTTCCTATTAAAAGCAGACATGTTGAAACAGGAAATTCTGAAAGACGACTGCGTTCAGATGAGCGATTTAAAATGAGTGACTCATCCCTTTTTGCTTTTGTGCTTGTGACACATTGTGTTAAAAATCTAAACATGTTGGTGGAGCTAATGAAGCAGAGCCTGTGTGCAGACAGGCAAACCCTACTGTGAGGTTACCATTCGGCATTATTAACCCCCCGTATCTCTGCCGCTCGCATTCCGATCCTCAAAGCATCCGTCTGTTCCCTCACTTTTCCCCGTTGTGAAACGATGAGACGTGGATTCAACTGAAAACAGTCATAAAGGGAAGGAAAAAAAAGAAAAGGGACACCCCCGGTTTTTATTTTGGACTCCTCAAAGTGAGTCATGTGGTTGGTTTCAGTAAGAAAATGGTCTCAGTGGTGTCGCAGGCCACTTATCAGAACCTACTCGGACGCCGCCTGATCGTCGCATTTAGCTGTGAATTCAAAACAAAAGAAGTCCGGCATAAAAGAGTTGAGCTAATGCTGTTGTGTGGAAGTGAAAGGGAGAGTTTATTGGGTTACCTGAACACTCCCTGGGCGTGTTTTATGCCACACATGCAATCGGACGTTTACTGCCTTCTCCTGGAACCGTTTGTTTACTTTGTTTCTGCTTTTAGCAGTGGCCCTGGTCGTATTACCGCAAGTAGATTTACCAGCAAAGCTTGAATTATTTCTTAATTTTTTTTCTTATAAGGAGTGTGAATTGTGTCGGTTAAACCGAAAGCTGCTTAATGGTGTAGAAATGTCTAAAGGTCATCATAGTTTATGAATTCATTGCTCCACCTAGTTAATGTCTCACTAACGGCTGAGACACTGAGTCATAACCCTTCAGCTTAACTTGGTATCTCTACTTGAATTATTTACCAAAGAAATGCTCCTGTTACTTTTGGTGTCATTTTTTTTTTCTTCTTATTCAAAAAAAAAAAATCAAGAGATGCACACAAGTTGTGAATGTCTTGCATTTTCCAATTAAAATTTTTTTTTTTTTGTAATATTGTAAATCACCAGAAATACTGGTGCTAATGACTTAAAACAGCATTTTTAATTTTCTGTAGGTGCACAGTGTCAATATATGAGTAGAACAAGCCGTCACTAAAAAAAAGGCATGTTCTTATAAATGTAGTTGCAGAAGAAACTTGAGTGGTTGGAGGAATTGGATCATTGGACCGCTCAGTTGGGATAATTTGGCAAGGTAAAAGCCAAAACCGAATGTTATGATCTACAAACGAAATGCGTTGATAAAACCCTGAACAAATCAGTTGCATGAAACATGGTGATGGTAGCATCAAGCTTGAGGAAGATGGATGGAGCTAAATAACCGTGGAGGATGACCTGTTTGGTTGCTCATGGTTGTAAAATGAATTTTCATCGTCTGTTATCTGGTTAGCGTTTGACTCATTCATTCATAAAATCCTGTCTTTCTGTTTTTCCCTCCATTAGTTATCCCCAACACCCTCAAGGTGACCCCCCAGACTCCTCCCCCGGTCGTCCAAGAGGGACACGACCTCACGCTTTCCTGCAGCGCCACGCGAGAACTGACCTTCCCTTCGCTGACCTACCTGTCCATCGCCTGGTTGGTGAAAACCAGCGGCGGCTCTGAGGAAATCCTCACGTTTGGCCCCCAGGGCGACGTCGTCACGGGTCCGAGGTTCACCCGCCGCTACCTTGACGGGGACCTCCGGCTGGTTCCAGGCAGGAACGGCGCGTTTGAGCTGGTGATTTCCAGGGTCACCGCGTCCGACGAAGGGACGTACGCGTGCACGGGGGCCGAATGGACGAGTGAAAGCGGAGGGAAGTGGACGAAGATTGTGGAAAGCTCCAAAGAGATGGGGGCCGTTTCAGTCACACCTACAAGTAAGAAAAACTACCCCGTGTTTGTGTTTTTAAGTCTCTTCTTTTTACCAGTAAACTATCAAGTATGGAGTCTGAAATGGTTCCTTGTTAAAGAGTGAGCTTAGCAGCTGCCTCCTAATCACTGCTTCAGGTTTTAGGCTACATTAGACACAATTTGTGTTAGATTCTCATTCCCAAATGTTGGCAGTCAGACTGCATTGTGGGTAATGTAAGCAGCAGGCTTTAGCAAATGGGAAGAATGTGTGAAAAGAAAAGATGCCTGCGACTGCACAACAGATTTTAGAGCACTGTGCTCAGATGAATGCTGTTAGTATCATCAGTTTGCTCTTTTATGACCACTTTTTATGTGGACAATTTAGATTAATTCATTTTATCTGTGGAAAATCTTGAATTTTTAACACCCAATGCTTAGTGTTCAAAACTCTTACATTTTTTTGTCATGCTACAACAAATTTCACTGTATTTTATTGAGCTTTTTGTGAGAGAGAGAGCTATATATAAGCAGTGCATGATTGTGAGATCGATGGTTCGACAATCTGTCAGCAGCTCGTAGTTGTGCGGAAATCTGAGAAATGAGAGGACGGATGGAACTAAACACATGTCAACCCTGATGGAAAACCTGTTGGAGGGAAAGTCTGGAGAACAGGGCGGAGGTGCACCGTCCATCAGCGAGAACTGTTGTAAACATACAGCCAGAGCTAGACACTAAAAACAAACCAAAACTCCACTTTTCACACTTTATTAAAGAAATCTTTGTTAAATTTCCTTCAAAGTTATACTCTACTTTCTCTTAGTCTATCATAAAATCTCAAACACGTGCAAAGTATTTTGTGGATGTAAGAAGATTTGAAAAAGTAGAATATTTTTGCAAGCCCCTGTGTCCATTATCCTTAAAAATGTATAAGAAAAAGAAAAGTTCTTCTGAAGCATGGAGAACTCTGTGTTGTTTGTCGAAAGCGGTAAATCCAGTAACCGTATCTTTTTTGTTGACTCTGGTGTCTGCTGCTCAGCCCAGAACTAATCTATCTGCTGGGATTGTAAGATGCCGGCGTTAACACAAGGTATCCTCAGATTGTTTCTCTGTGAGGTGAAGGCAATGTTGAAGGAACACAAAGAAAGGGAGAGTTAATTTGTAACTTGCTTGAATGGCGTGTAGAATCAATCTGTGTCGAATGGCACTTCATCAAAAAAAAGAAAAAAAAAGAGTGACTCATTGCGTCCGTTGCTCATAAGCCCAATTGCCTTGTGGAGGAAATCAATTCCTGCCGGTCTGTGCCTTGATGCTCTGCGCTTTATTGCACTCCCTGGGCTCCGTTTGTCCTTCGCCTCAAATCTGAATACCTTTTAGTTCTGTCGCTTAAAACGGATCAAAGCTGGTTGGCAAGCCCACCTTCAAAGGACGTCTTTAAATGAAAACTCTTCAGAGTGAGGCTCGTGTGTCGTCAAGACATCGCCACAACAGATAGTTTTCAGATCCGGGCTGTTCGCTTTGGGGTCGCCACGCGAAGGAGCGACTCTTTGTGCCGACGAGTCGGAAGACAAGAAGTGTGAGAAGAGCGAGCGGGCGTGGGAGAGTTCCAGGCCCGTTGTGTGGCTCTCTTTGTTTTAGAGGGATCCTCTTCACCGAACCTCTCTCTACTCTCCATCTTGCTCTCTCCCAGGAGGTTCATGACCCTAAAATGGCCCTCGTTCTGCCTTATCCCATCTACACAGAGGCCCCGCTAGACACAGTCATTCACTGAAGTTGCTGTGGAGACCATATCTTCTATCTCTCTAGGTTACCGTATCCTCTGAAGTGCTCTAGAGCGCTCAGTGGTTCCTAATGAAACCAAACATGAACTGCACAACCAGGTCTAGGACTCGAGTCATTGTGGCCAAGTCACTTCGTATTGACTTACTGGCTTTGGTAAAGAGGATGAGAAAAGTCAAACAGAGTCTGCTTTGTCCCTTTTGTCCTCCTCCAGACACCACACAGAGACTCCTTCCCGTTTTACTTGTGTTGACGTTGCTACTAGAGATAATATTCAAACCGCTGATCCTATTGATGGTGTAAAGATACACGGGAAAGACTGACGTTTTTAATATACTTGCCCATTTTTTTTTTTAATCATCGAATGGGACTGTAAATGTCATCTCGAGCATCTCTGCTGAAAGAACGCCATGGGAAAGAGAGAGTCTGCCTTTCACCCTTCAGTTCCCAGTTTGATATGTTGCTCTATTTTTAAAGATTAAGTTTAGTCTTTTATTTTCTATATAGTTTCTCTCAAACACTTATGATCAAATAGACTCCTAAAATGAAACAGAATTTTCCACTATTCCATCATTTGGACACCCTCTAAATGAAATTAGTGTTATGCTAGCCACTCAGCTAGCTTATTGGCTACAGGCTCAGCTACCATAACAAAGAGCCTCCTGAAGTTTTACTTGCTTTCGGATAAGGATTATATTTATAAACTTTAGTACCATTTTTTTCAAAAACTGGTCCAACTAAAATGTGAATTCAGAGCTATAGTCGTTCAGCTGGACACACAGTTAGCATAATGCTAATTTTGATGTTTGAGCACTATGCTAGCGAGCCAAGCTATTGTAAGGTTTAGGTTTGTAGCATTTCATTGGAATCAAAAATGTTTACAAATTTTCCCTTTTTTTTTTTCAAGAACCAAAACATTGCAAAGTTAGCATGTTTTTTTTCACCTGTTATGCAAAAAATAAAAAAAACTGTGTGTGTGTGTATATATATATATATATATGTGTGTGTATGTTTTGTGCAACTTTAATCTGGATCCTGTGCTTTTCTTTTGTCTCAAGATCGTTCCCTCAATGTGAAAGCATCATCTTCACCTTCCTCGCAATCCTCCACTTCACTGCTTCTGTCTCCTGGCAACACGCTGACCCTCCTCTGCCACGTCTCTGCCGACAACCTGGACGTCCTCTCCTTGGAGGTGACCTGGCTGGCCGACGATGGCGAAATCATCACCGTGAACCGCAGCGGCGTGGTGAACGCCAACTCGGTCTCGAAACGAGGCGAGGCGAGCCTGGAGAAGACCGGAGACAGCGACTACAGGTTGGCGGTCAGGGGCGTGAGCAGCAGGGACGGCGGGGTCTATACCTGCCGGGTTCAAGCCTTTATCGAGGAAGGACGTGTCACAGGAGGAGGAGCAGGGCGGTGGCACATGGTGGCAGAGAAGACCTCCAACCCCGTGACTGTGAAGGTCTCCGAAATCAGTAAGTAAATCCACAGCATGTTTTTTAACCGCTGTTATAAGATGACTGAATGACGAGCTTCATACACTATATAAAAAGATACAAAACCAATTCAAACTTGGAATGGGCCAAAATTCCAATAAAGAAGGATACTTAAAATGTTTGATGGAGTTTAGATTTACAGTGACTGTTAATAAAGTCTAATAAAATATTTAAAATACCCATCTCTAGTATTCTGATGGTTGCATAATTTCGGTAATCCCTAAGGTCCTGAAACTGGAAAAGTTTAGTCCTATTTAATGCCAGAAAGGGGGGGGGAGTGTTGCATATCTTTTTATACAGTGCAAGCAATCTGCTTTCAGTTATATGTGCTGCTACATTTTGTTTCCGAAACAAGGAATGAATGTAAACGCAAGGTTGTATGTTTCAGGAAGTGCTCTTACGCAGTATCTCACCCCAAAATGCTGTTAGAAATGATGATAAAATTGTGTTTATTAATGTATTCTGGAAGTGCTTCTCTCGTCTGAGTCCTCAAGCTAGATGAATATTTAATAAGCTGCACAGCTTGATTTTTTTTTTTTTTTTTTTTTTTTTTTTTTTGGTGGAGGGGTGGGGGTTTAAATTAGAGCAACAGAGTTGATTGCTCTACGGTGTTGCCGTGGAAGTCACTGCACTTTAATTGCCGGTCAACGTCGAGACTCAAGATCACTTCTAAGATTACCACTCTGTTCACGTGTAAACCAGCGAGAGTACAGTAACTCCATATTGTTTTGTGTGCGGACTTGCCGCATACGAGCTGCGTGCGACTGTGGAATCTCAAGGGGAAACTCTTTAATCCTCCAGTCACCCTGTCGACTCCTGCTGCGAGGACGATTGATTAGTCATGGCTTTCCTGCTGTCTGCTACCTCTGGGTGAGCTGTTGCTGTGTGCGGCGGCGCGCGCGCGCCGATGCTCTGATCCTGCCTTCGAGAGCGGTGATGTCAAACACGGTCGACGCAGCAATCAATTACCAGCGTGGTGGGTGGTCCCACTGTCTGTGGCAGTTTCGCGTTTCAGTTTTCATTCCTTCTGTTTGAATCCTAACGTTATACTGATTCAAATTTTTTTTTTCTCTCCTCTCTTTACACCAAGAAGTGGCTTTCTGGCAAGGTTATGCGCGGGGGCAATTAGTTAGTGGAATTAGCTTTATTATCCCCGGCTAAATATGCAAAATGAGAGAAACAAGATCATCATTCAAACTTAATTTCAAGGTTGTTTTGTAATTGGACTTTTAACCACTCGTTGGGAGAAGAGGAACTCCGTGAATAAATAGACTTTTGAGGAACTTTAACAAAAGCACAGCTCGCAGACATAGCTTTAGCTGCTAGCTAGCCAGTTTGGAATAAATTGCAAAAAAAATTCATAATCAACTCTTGTGTGGAATATTCTCTCTGAGCTGTCAGCTTGTCATGAGGCATACAGCCGTAGTCTTCAGTCAGAAGCTCCTTCAGATTTGCTGCAACACTGACTGCTACCAGAGATCTTTTAATTAAATTTTCCTTTGGGTTATATAAAGTTTTTTTTTTTTTTTTTTTTTTATTGAATTGACTCCAAAGCACCAAACTTCTGTGGCTGCAAAACAAGCCCACATCATCATCCCTCCACTACCATGCATGACAGCAGGTAAATGGTGTATGCCCAAACAAATGCTGTATTAATTTAGACATTATAACCAAATTTTATTCAATTGTGAACAGTAAAGTGCATTTAATTATATTCCATCGTAAACCCTTAGCTTTTAAGATGAATTTTCTTTTTTCAATCTGTGGTTTTACTTCCTCTTGTGGCTACCTATAATCATAATTGCAGACTATAAATGAAAAAGTTCTGCAATACTGAAACTAAAGTGGTCAGAGTTAAAGTATAAACAGAAAATAAATGTTTATTTCATCCGGGCTGTTGAGCCAATATTAGATTTAGTAGAAATGAACGTTTTGATGCCAAAGAGAATTCAGAAATATCAAAACAGCTGCTCCTGCATTCCTGACAAATTCCCAGTCCCCTCATCTAAAAAAAATAAATTGACTTTAATGAAGAAATCTTCCTCACCATAATCACTCCTTTCAGCCTGGCTGCCTCGCTGCATTTTACTGGTTTTGGGGAATTCTCGCCGGCTAGACGTTAGCTCTCACTTTGTTATCGTTGGGAAATGGAATTAGTCTTTTTGGTCTCCGTCTCATTTGGGTGAAGCGCCTGGCCTGGAGAGAATAAAACTATATTTATGGTGTCCGGTTTGTTTTGTTTTTTCTTTGTGTGTGTGTGTGTGTGTGTGCTTCTTGGCTTCAGTATTGTCAGATCAGATCAAAACGCCTCATATTTTCCCTCAGTGGAATTTTGGGTGAATCGGTTGCCAGATACCGCCGACATCAAAAGGAAACTGTGAAATTTATGCTTCATGGACACTCAGGCAACATGTCATTGACCAGTGAATCTGTGCACGTCAGATTGGTGGTGTTCGTGCTGTTTATTTTTATTTTTTTTTTGCTTTACTGATTATTGATTATGATCATTAAATCTGGATGTTCAAAGCACTTTTTAAAACAATCCAAAGTAACTATTTGAGCTGCAGAAGCCTTTTTTTTTCTCCCTTGTATGTCAGACAACATGGGCGATCTTCATTTGCTTCAGTGGACATTGTCTGACCATGACCCTGTTTCCAATTCAATGGTTTTCTTTCATTGGTCCATTTTTTTTTTTTGTTGGTAAAATTGGATCGCTGCAGGCTGGGAAAATCTAACATGAGCTTGCAGACGTGCTGACCCAGTCGTCCATCCGTCACGTTTTGCATATTTTAAGAGTTGTGTTAGTTTGCCCCTTTTTTCTGTTTCCGACGTTATAATCAATACAGTCAAAATCAATGACTAATCTGTTTTTTTGTTTTTTCTTAGTTTTTTCCTTTATAATAAGTTTCCTGGTGTACTTTCAATTTGCAAAAAAAATCTATTCGCATCTGTTTCATATCTTCCCTGCAATGAAATATTTATTAACACACTGAGAAACTTCTTTGCTCATCGATAAAAATGGCCTCGTAAAGTTCACAAAGTTGGATAAACGAAACAAACTCAAAGCTTCAGTTTGAGACAATTTGTGAAAAATACTCACAACTTCTCATATTTTCTTTTACAAAACCCAGTTTTAATCACAAAATCTCAGTTTTGGTGAAGTGGCTTGAAGTAGCTTTACAGTAATGGTCTGGATTTAACGGCATGTTTTCAACTTCTGCTTTTCCAGTGGATGAATGTTGGATTTGGAAATTTGAGCAACAATTTGAAAAAAATGACACAAATTTCCCTTAAACTCTTGCAGGATATTTACACAAATGTTTTGCCACAGCCATTCAGAATACCAGTAGAGCCCTTCGAAGGATGTATTTTCTTCAAAGCGCCTGAAAAAGTAAGGAAAAAACGCAAAACAACAATACAGACAACTGTGATTGGCTACCTTTTGTGATGTCGCCAGAGGAATGTGTGAATGGAAGCTTGATTTTTGGATTATATGACGACTTAATACAAAAATAGTCGCACAAAAAATAAAAACTGAACATGAGACTCTGTTCTATGTGTGACAAACTGCATCTAAAGTAAGTTTGGTTGAATTTATTTATCTATTTTTTACGGTAAACTCTTGACTGGTAGCTTTAACACCATTCAGCATGAATGCCATGTTGGTTGCATTTTGTTCCCCTTTTAGAGTAATTTAAGAAACGCCAGCGGCTGACACGTCCAATCATTAAACACAAACATTTTATTAAAACCACCCTGTCTCTGTGGACGAAGCTGTGTGTGTGTGTGTGTCTGCCGGCTCTACCACATTCTGTGCTGTATGTCAGCGGGAGCCGTTAGTTAAAATAACAGCATCCTCTTCTCCGTACCCAGAAGATTCCTCCAAGCCTTCAGGTTCCGTGTTGCATTTCGAAATACCAGCCGGGCTTTCTGGGTGCAGCCGCCATCCAAAGTCGGTTCGCATGAGGGGCGAAGCCGACATATCAAACGGCACCATCACAGTCATTTGGGCTCAATCTCGCCGTTAATGCATAGCTGCATGCACGAGTGTGTCTGCGGGGTTCGAGTAGTTTGGTTCCTGCAGAGTAAATGCCACATGCACTGCCTTCTGTGTGCCCCTCATACTGAGGGTAACCTCTTACATTTTAGCCTGAGGGCTCGCATTCCTTCATACTTCACCCCAAACACACACGCACACAGACACACACACCAAGGAATCACTACTTCTAATTGACCAAATATTGCATATTAGATGAAACACTCTGCGTGTCAACCAGTCACTTCCTGTTCTGCTGATCCGAAGCTTGAAAAGTTTCTTCCCCTTTTTGTTCCTGTAATGATTGGCTCAGGGCACGGCCCTTCCAGGGAGTGCAGAAAGACTTGGAGAACTAGTTTAGGAGGTCCCCTTTGGCAGAAACACACACATGCGTGCGCAAACCCTGGGCTGTGCCTCCCCCAGCGAAGCGTGTTGTGTCAGCTGGAGTTATTCTCATGTCACTTCAAAAAGGGCAGCTTAAGTTTTATATGGGCTTTTGCTGTTGTTTTTTCAGTGAATGTACAGTGTCTTCCAAAACTTTTTGCACCGATTTAAACTTTTCTACATTTTTGTAGGAAAGTATGTATTTTTATTTTTTTTGGGCAGCAGTGCTAGCAAAAAGCGGCGCGATGATGTGCATCAAGGTTAGTTGGCTCACACAAGGGATTTAGACGTTTAAACTGGAACAGTGCGTCATGCCAAAAGCGCCGAGTTGGCGCATTTTATACGCATGTCTTTGCTTAGCCACCACTGTTCCAAGAGCAGCGATGCAGCATAGTTTGGTTAACCAATTTGGTAACACTTTATTTGAAGGGGGTGAATAAGGCTGACATGACACTGTCATAAACATGACATAACACCTGTCATGAACATGAATAAGCCTTCATGAATATTTATGACTGTTGTCATAAAGCGTCATTCGGTAAATTATGACACTTTTAAT